CTTCAGAAATGTCAGGGATTATTAAGTGTTTTAATTTGGATATATACCCACAGTCCTATCTCTGGGAAGAATACAGGACCATAGGTTTACCTCTCCCCACCAAAAGAAAGAACCTTAAATGAGGACTAAGCAATGGAATGGATTCTTTTCCCTAAGGCAGTGGTTCTCAACCTTCCGAATGCCACGACCCTTTAATACAGGTCCTCATGTTGTGGTGACCCCCAAACCATAAAATTATTTTCATTGCTACTTCATAACTGGAATTTTGCTACTGTTAAGAATCGTAATGTAAATATCTGATATGCAGGATGTATTTAGGCGACCCCTGTGAAAGGGTCGTTCGACCCCCAAAGGGTCGCGACCCACAGGTTGAGAACCGCTGCCCTAAGGGATAAATGGAAAAAAAAAGACAGCTCTCAAGTCTGGATTTTTGTTCTGACCCTCAGTCTTCCTCTCTCTTCCTGCCTTTCTCCCGACGCCGTCCCAAAGCCTTCCCTGCGCTCCTGCGGCCCTGGCCTGGCCACTGCCCCTGGCTCTAGGAGACAGTCCCATCGCTGTCCTGCCATAGTGCTGCAGCTGGAGGGAGGCCTCACTTCCACATCTGGGACCAGGAGCACAGGCCTCCCTAGATGACCTTTAACTTCTCTTCCAAATCTAACTCTCCACAAAGAAGAAACTGAAAACTGTTGTTAGTGCATTCAAGCCAAACACTCACCTAGGCTCTACGGGAAAGTGCACTTTAACTGTACGTGGAACATCGCACAAATATGGGCACAAGTGCAGCAAGCTCTAAACACACAAGTTCCCCGAAGTTTCCATTCAACTTCCTTATCACGATGGAACAGACTATTATTAAATCAGAACTTTCTCTTAGGACCTCTTAATGGTCCGTGGCTTACAAGCTTCTGGTTACAGACACCAAGATTTCTTTGTTTTAAAATTACATATATATTTTTTTAAATATATTTTTATTAATTTCAGAGAGGAAGGGAGAGGGAGAGAGAAATAGAAGCATCAATGATGAGAGAGAATCATTGACCAGCTGCCTCCTGCACGCCCCACAATGTGGATCAAGACCACAACCCAGGAATGTGCCCTGACCAGGAATTGAACTGTGACCTCCTGGTTCATAGGTTGATGATCAACCACTGAGCTACACCGGCCAGGCAAGCATTTCTAATCACGAGAAATTACCAGACGAGTGTTTACAATTTCAAGGTAACTGAGCAGAAAGCTGACAGTTTGGAAGAATCAGAATTGTCACTCGGCACCACAGAAGGGGACTAAGTAGAAAAACACTCAACAATCATATGACTTTCTTGGTTCTCTGTGCTACCTAACATCTCCCCAAGACACTGTATGCCTCTGTTGAGGAAAAGGGGTCAAATTAAAATGAGGTTACAAATGACATGGAAAGATATTTACAATATAGATTTCTGGTGAAAAAGGCAGATTACAAAGTAATATAATCAACAATATCAATCCCATTTTGGTAAAAAATATATACTGGTATATGCACACACCTACACGCATCCAATAGGATACAGTCCAAGTTGTTAATAAGCTTATAATTTTTCTGTAAAATGTTTGCATATCTATATCTTCTTATTATTTTTTTAAAATATATTTTTATTGATTTCAGAGAGGAAAGGAGAGGGAGAGAGAGATAGAAACATCAATGATGAGAGAGAATCATGGGTTGGCTGCCTCCTGCACGCTCCACACTGGGGATCGAGCCTGCAGACCTGAGCATGTGCCCTGACCGGGAACCGAACCTTGACCTCCTGGTTCCTAGGCCGGTGCTCAACCACTGAGCCACGTCAGCCGAACAATTTTCTTATTTTTCTACAATGAACACTTATACCTCCTGAAATAATGCAAACATTTTATGTAACAATAAAAATGGATCTGGCACCCAAACTATCAACAGATGCCTCCCTCAAGCAGAGCTCAGGGATTCCCCGTACAGAGGCCAGCATCTGTTGTACATTGTACCTGGGGCCAAGCTGGGGCGGGCGCTGAGATTTTTAGGGACCAGCCATCAAGTACCACTGAGATAGGCCCAGAGCTCTCCTTCCTATTCACCTTGATTCCAGAGCCATCGGCTTCCCACTCACAAGGTTTATTTGATTGTAACCCTCTGGGCAGAGTTTTCAAAACTGACCAAAGGTCCTAAGTTACAGTTCAGGATTTTAACGTTCACATTCCTTGATTTAAGAGGGTCAATAACTGAAGAACACAAGTTACTCTGGCAGAGATCCAGTTTTAAAAGTTGGAGCTAATCTCTACCCCTCATGTTAGGCTGGCCAATGCCAAGCCGTTCTTTTCTTTTTTCTTAAAATATGTTTTTATTATTTCAGAGAGGAAGGGAGCGGGGAGAGGGAGGTAGAAACATCAATGATGAGAGAGAATCATTGATCAGCTGCCTCCTGCACGCCCCACACTGGGGATGGGATCCAGCCCTGACCGGGAACCGAACCGTGACCTCCTGGTTCATAGGTCGACACTCAACCATGAGCCACGCCGGCCAGGCCAATCCTTTCTGATAAGAATAAAAAATAAGCCATGATGTTTAAAAGCATCATCGCCCAATCCATGATCCAGTTCCACACTTCTGCTTTTAACACGAAGTGCTGACTCCCAATAGATTGCTTGGCCTATCGAAAGCCGCCACCGCTGAGCCTCCCAAGGTCCCATCAGCCAAGAAACAAGCTCATCACCGGGCACAGGTGTCACTGCATCAGGAGGCGTGCAGGCTGTCCCGGCAGCTCAGAGACCTGCCAGCAAGCAGGCGTCTTCAGGCACAGACCTCCCAGCTAGCAGAAGCAACGTGCACACAAAGAAGGGCTAGGAAGACAGACATCACAGGCAGCAAAGATGAGGGCAACAGAAGGGAAAGCAGCAGAAACAGCAGGAGGACAGTCCTCGGAAGAGTGTCTGAGGCACCCCACCCTGAGTGAGGGGGAGAATGCCACCAGGCCCAGTGCTCTGGGAGGCACGCAAGTGAGCCTGGACGCTGCTGCCCCTCATGCCTTTCCAATGCGGCATCTGGCAAAAGCTACACACACTTCAAAACCAACTGTCTTCTCACCCCCTCACTCTCGTATCTCTTAAAAACCATCCACGATTCACATCAGAGCCTTATCCTCTGTTACAAAACATTTGTGGAGACTGCTTACAACAAAAAAGCAGAGTCTACACAGCACTATTTTCTTGCAAGAAAACAAAACTGCCAACTATCAGGATCTGAAAAAAAAACACACAAAAAAACGTGATCACTTCAGGCTCGTTTTGGGTCTGAACCACTCCCCTTCCCCAGCTATCCTCCAAAGAAACAGAACAGGCGCTGCTGCGGGCAAAGAGGGAAAACAAGTCTAATTACAACATGTGCACTTGGCGGATGAAAAAAAACCTGGGCATTCTTGAACTCTGGCCACGTTTCAGAAGCGCTCCCACTTGCCGTTTAACCTCGCTCAAAAGCGAAGGTTAAAGATCAGTTGTACTTCAACCAGAGCGCAATAAAAAACAAAAGACGCCCCGACCCACTGGCCACAGTGCTGCCGGTGACACCGCAAGGGAAGCCAGCTGGAAACTCAAAGCGACCCTGACTCCTTATCGAGCACTGACAGAGGAAGAGGAAGTGGTTTTCACTTTATTTTTAAAATGAGGTCTAACAATCGGACCCGGTGCACGAGCGTGCTCCACCGGGGAAAGCACACATTTTGCAACGGGAGACACAGACGCGAAGGCTGCAGGCCCAGGCGGGCGGGCTCAGCCTACCTGCCCTCCCTGCAGAGGTGGAGGCCGCTGAAGACAGAGCTGGCAGTGCTTCTGCGGGAGGCAGGAGAGACTTCTGGAACCCAAAAGGGGGGCTGTCCAACTGGACATCTGGATCGCGAGCTACTGCTCAAGAGGCCTGGGCACCTACAAGCTGTCACCTCGCAGCCCCTGTATGGGACCGTGCCCCGCAGACACTGGGCCTGCTGCCTCGGTGCCCCCACCACACACACACACACACACACACACACACACACACACACACACACCAGGCTCTGTCCCCCCACCCCAAGCATCCTTCAGGCCTCGGCTCAAACGCCACCGCCGCAAGAGGAAAAAGGAGCCGCTCCCCCAGACACGCACCGCCTGCTAACACACCATGCAATTCCCTTCTGCCTCCCCCACCGCTCGCTCCTCTCCCAGATGAGCCTCGGAAGAACGGGGAGGCTCGGTGGCTTGTCCCCTGGTGTCTACCCCGGCCGCTTAGGACAGTGCCTGGCACCGAGCAGGAGCTCAAGAACTGTTTTCTGAATGAATGAATGAATGAATGAATGAATGGACAGGAGCACTCCAGGAGGAAGGCAAGGCGGGTGGAAAGGGTGCCGGTGTGTGGGTGAAGTTGCGGGGGGGAGGGGGGGCAGCACAGAGGGGAGTTCCCCGGGGAGGGGAAGGCTGGGGGGCCGGGCCGCAGGGTTCCTCCCGCAGAGCCGATGGGAGGCGAGAGGCGCACCGGGTCCGCCAGTGGCACCGGGTCCGCCAGCGGCACCGGGTCCACCAGCGGCGCCGAGCAGCGCTTCCAAAGGGCGGCTGAGATGGAGCGCGGAGGACGCGGGGAAACCCAAGGGCAGGGCAGACTCGCCGGCCGCGGGCCCCGGGCAGGCCCCGCGGGACCGGGACCACCCGCCCCGCCCCCGCCCCTGCCTCGGGGCCCAGAAACCAGCTCCCCCTCGACTTACCCGGGGGCGCCACGGGCCGCCGGACCTCTGGGCTCCGGCCCTTCACCGGGTCGACAGCGAGAGGGGCCCTGCGCTCGGGCACCTGCCTGCCCGCCCCGGGGGTCCCCACCCCGGGCCCCGGAGGCCCCAGCGCGCCCTGGCGGGCGTCACCCCGCCCGGTTCCCCTCCGCACACGCCCGCCGCCCTCCCCGCAGCGGGGGAAAGGGCTCCCGGCGCCCCTCGCCGCGGCCGCCCAGCCGGACGCCCGCCCGCGCGGCGCCCGCTCACCTCGGGGCGCACGTACGACACGAAGGAGGGTTTCGGCGCCCTGGTGCCGCCGCCACCGCCGACCACCCCTTTGCCCAGCATCCCCCCGCCCTGGAAGCCGCGACGCGCGGGAAGAGGCGGCTGCTCGGCTCCCGGAGCGGCGGCGGCCACCAGCACAGGCGGCGGGGGCTCCGCCCATCCCCAGGGCCGCGAGGGCCGCGGCGCCGCCCGCATCCGGCTCCGCCGCTCGCTCCGCCCGCCCCGCCCCGCCCCGCCCAGGCCCGCGGGCCCCGCCCACTCCCCCGCCGGCGGAGAGACCTCGCCCAATGGCCACGCCCCCCCACTCGCTGCCGGCGCGTCTCACTGGCGGAGATTCGCCGTCTGAGATTGGCTACGTTTCACCGGAAAGGCCCGCCCCCTGGTTTTCTGATTGGTCAGAAACGCTCTCGGCCCACCCCCCTGCGCCATGCCCCACCTGGAGTGATGTTTCCCCTGACCAATCCAGAGAGCAATCTATCTGGACTCCTCGGCGACTGGATAACAAGAATGTCGCCGTCGTCCAATGGTCCTGCGGCCACTAAGTGATGAGGGGCGGTTCACGGCGGGAGTCCCGTAGCTGCTGGTGGCTTTGAAATGAAACTTCCCAGAAGCAGAGTATGTGGAGTCTCCGCGTGAGTTCCAAGTCCACACTAGTGGCTTCAGGCTTCTTTCAAATGTTGAAAAAAGTGAGATAAACCAAGAGTTAACAGGCACTTGGGAATAGGCTTAATGTTCGATCATAAAAGGCCTTGCCCATCTCATTTTCCAACATTTTTTGTTTGTGTTTGACAATATCAAAAGACCGTAAGAGGCTTCTCGTAACCACTCTCCCCAGTTACCGAGAAAACCCTCCTTTTTAGTGAAGACTGCAAAGAAAAGTCATTTAAATAACACATGTGGCGCTACGCATGGTTAGGCACAAATGAACGATGCAGGGCACAGCTTTCAAGAAATGCCGCCCAGCCAGGCTTCGCGAAGAAAGACCCCCTGAAGGAGGTGTGGAAGCATGAAGTTCTCTGTCAGGATTAAGAACACCACTTTCTATTTCACAACAGTTTTTACTTTTCACAGTCCAACGGCAGCCCCGGCCAGGGAACTGCAGCCTAGGTGCATGCTCTGACCCGGAGTCAAACCTACAGCCTTTGGGTGGATGGGACGACGCTCCAAGCAACCGAGCCCCCCAACCAGGGCGCCGTCCTGAGCAAATTTTTCGTCCCTGACCTTTCGGATAACTTTGGTTTTCCGTGATCTTCCACCAGCGCCCGCGTGTTCGCGTGGGTACCGATGGCCAGGCTGGCTTCGTGGACATGCAACTAGTGCAGTCACGCAGGGCCCACACTGATAGAAGGGTGTGCGGTTTAATGCTTGGCAGTGGCAGCCTTGAAATTCTGAATCGTGGTATCTCTAATTGGTGGTTTTGAGTGAAGTGCGATGAGACAATGGAGGGAGCCTGGGGTCTCGGAGCCTCAACTCCTGCAAAGTGCCGCTTGCCATCCTTTCCCCACCTCCTCTCGGTGCCTACCCTACATCTTTTGTCTGTGTCCTTGGGCAGAAATAATAAAATAACATTAAATCAAACTGTAACTGAAAAATAAAATTATTTTTAAAAAATAGTTTTAACTGTTTACCTCTGGATTTTGAACCATGAGTATTACCTGGCTCAACAATAAATAAATTAAAATTTACACACACATACATACCTATCTCATTTACTTTTTTAAAAAATTAAAGCAAAATTCACATAAGGTAAAAGCAGCCATTTTAAAGTGAACAATGAAAATACGTTGAATTTTCATTCATAAATAAGAGCCTTTAACAAGTCCTTGCCATTTTCTGTCTCTGCTTGTCTTGGCATTCACCCCCACCCATCAGGGTCTCCTCCCAGTGCCACCACCTCGTTGGCACCTTCCTTAGGGACAGTTGGGACAATCTAGATGCTTCTGAATTCCTAGGCATCCAGAGCCCACAGCCGCCTCGGCTGTAAACTTGAACCTGCCTTAGAATCACTGCAGTGGGTCCAGGCCTTTGTCTCCCTCCCTAGAGCTGTGCCCAGAGCTTCTCACGGTCAGAGGACGCCCTCCTGTGCTTCGCGATACTCCCTACAGCACAGCCCTCGGTGCTGTGAAGAGAATATGGGATGGATGGATAAGCTTTCCAACCTGACACTCCGGAACCCCGCAGCCTCTGGGACAGGGAGACTGTGCCCTCTACAGGGCCGTTAGAGACGTGGGGAGCCGGGAAGGCACTCTCTAGCACAAAGAAGAATAACGAAAGAAGAGGCTGGGACTGCTCCTCCCATCCCCCCTCCCCAGGCCTCCGCTGGGCACACTGACTGGCCCACCGGTGCGTGAAGCATGCACTAGAACTTGGCTTGCGTCAGCCGCTACGCCACCCACAGCTCCCAGAGCGGGACACCAATTCATTTTGGAGAGCCTGGGGGTTGGGGGTGGGGAAGTCGCAAGGCCCAGAGAAGTGGAACAACTCGTCCAATCTGCTTTCTGACCATGAATTCCAGTCCACTGTGGTCTGACGTGATCTGATGACTTCTGAGCTTTATCTTTGTCACTTGTCTTCTAAGGCCGTTGCAGTCCATCTCCGAACTCCTTCCTTCCGTGTGTCCCCCTGCTCTCTGGGCTGGTCCAGAGCCCCAGCCAGGCCTGGTCCCATTGCTTGTCCCGTGTGCTTCTGGGCAGGGAAGGTGCCCGCTTGGGGCCTGTGGTCCCTCTGTCCTGCCCGGCCCAGCTGGCTGGATGGCGAGTCCTCAGAGCTACAGTGGAGTCCTCCTCCCGGGCTGGGCAGCCTCCCAGTAGCACCTCTGGGAGGCTCACTCACATCACTTTCTAGGTCTCTCGGGGCCATGAAAAACAGTGGGTCATTTTCACCCCCTGGGAGACACAGAGGAGTTAAGGGGCTTTTGCAAGTTCTGGGAAGGTTTCAAGTTCTCTGTGCCTCAGAGCAGGGGCGCAGGGGCGAGGATGGTGTCAGCAGCCCAGGCAGGCGGGTGTCAGTGTGTGTGTATGACGGGTGAGAGGGTGGAACCAGCAGGCAGAAAAACCTGTTATTTGGGTTGATTCATTCCAGGAGAACAGCACCGAGATCTGGCATCTGATTCCAGGCAGGATGACCTCCAGGAGAGAGGAATGAGAAAGCTTGTTGCTGTCTCAAATGATTAAGATTGACGTCACCTCGTGCTTCCCATGTCATTCAATCATCCGGAGGCCGAGTGTCGCCAAGTGAAAATAATGTGTTATTCCTTCTTGAATGTTTCCTGAGATGGAAGCATCCAGTGTCAATCTGACTTTCTGGTGGGACAGAGCTGGCTGGGGAAAGCCAGGGGCCTGGCCTGCGGGCTGTTTGTTTGCTAATTGGAAGGGAAATGGCACTGGGAGGACCTCTCCTGCCCTCCCAGTTTTGCTGGAGGCTGAATCTGGTTAGAAACTCTGGCGCGGAGGACACCCTTTCCCACAGTGCGTGGCGCCTACTGGTGCTCTGGACGGGGAGGAGGGGAGCTGGGCTGTCACCGGGCAGGGAGAACAGCTCAAATGGAAACGGGCCCAGCATGCCCCCCACTGGGACATTTGATCTTCACTCCAGCAGCCGGGCCTGTGCCCAGCTTGGCGGGCCCCTTCCCACTCACTGAGACCTGAAAGGCTTATTGTTCAGGTGGCTGCAGAGCAAGCACAGAGGTTGTGAAAGACCCACTGTTTCATGTTTGAAACGCTCGTCTGTCCCAAGGTTAAAATGGATTCAAAATTGTTTTTTCAAAATCCTTTCTGTCCAAAGGCAAAAGGAGAATTCAGGGAGTGGAAATGGCTGAGCTGCAGAGCCACGGCTCAGCGTTTCTTCCCTCCCGAGCAGCTTCCTGACCAGCCATTCCCCTTCCCTGGGACACTGGCGTCCACTCTCCATCCACTCACCTGGTCTCGGAGCGGATCCCGAGGGCAGCCACGTAAAGCACCAAACCAGACCCTCTCAGACCTTGCAAATACCTTATGCAGGTTAAGAAGTTTCATGGCTCAGCTCAACTGGGGTCCCAGAAAAAGAGGGGGATCCATTCATTCTCTCATCCAACGTGAGACAGCAACGGAAGGGAAAATGCTAAGAGAAACTGGAACCACATAGACGTAGTCGATTAACTTTCAGGTAAACCTCTCTCCGCTTTATTTTTTCCTGGTCTCCTCAAATGCCAGGGCGACACCTTCCCCCCATCCCCAAAGAAAGGCGCGGCCCCTCCCCAGGCCTCTGACGCTGCCCCAGAGGGAGCAGACAGGCCTGTGGAGAGGAGAGTGCTCTGCTGGGGACTGGCACCGCACGTCCCAGCGCAGGGCGAGGCAGGAGAGGCGGGAAGAGCAGGTTAGAACGGCAGTCAGTGGAGCCCTGAGTGCCAGGCGAAGGCTGCTGGAATCCCTCCTTAAGGCATGTGGAGATATTGGGCGGTTTTCACACCATTTTTTCTTCTTAAAGAATTATTATGCTGTAATTATTTCAGAACTAGTCAGTAGTTATGTGGTGAAAGATATTATAGAAACAGAGATTATCAAACCTCCTAATCTGATAGGAACAAAAGCCCCAAGCTGAACAAGCCATAATCACACTACAGAGATGAGCTGCTGAGTCCGCTGGAACATGCTGGAGAATGGTGTGTGTGTGTTTTATAATCTGGTTTTTTACTACACGTAAATTTCTTCGTGTATTATTCTACTACTAGTTATTTTCAATTTTTTCCAACGTCACGTTCCTGAGGGAGCTGACCCCTCTCAGGAGGAACGGGCTGAATGACGAGGACTTTTCAGGAGGGAACACTCCCTTTGGGGTTGCTGGTCTCTAACATCATTAGATGGTTGAGCAGTATTTCAGTCAAGTACTTATTGGACATTTCAGTTGTTTCTACTCTTACACACTTGCCAGTAGTGCTTCAGTAAAAATATTTGAATTTATAGTTTTGTATATCTATCTGATTAGATTTCGTTCTTTAAGATGAAGTCTTTGAAGTTCAGCTGCTGGGTCAGAGTCTCCCTCTTTATTTGTATACTAGAGGCCCGGTGCACAAAAATTTGTGCACTCGGGGGGAAGGGGGGGTCCCTCAGCCCGGCCTGTGCCCTCTAGCAGTCTGGGACCCCTCGGGAGATAACGACCTGCTGGCTTAGGCCTGCTCCCGGGTGGCAGAGGGCAGGCCCAATCCCTAGGTGC